TTTTTGGTGTTCGGGTGTCCATCTTCTTTGCAAAAGCAAGAGGATGGCTTCACAAGTTGCGGTTCAGGGCACAAGACTCGGGGTCTAGCGTACTGAGGATTCTAGGAGCTTGGGTTCGGGAGTTTACGGTATTGCAGTTTAGGACTCGGGGTCATTTAGGGCATTTAGGGCTCCATAACCGGAAAGCATCTGCACTGCACAAAAAGAAGGCTTCTGCTCTGTCGGTGCATGGGGTGTGCAATCAAACCTCTCCATGTTGTGCTAAACCTGGCCTAAATTCTAAATGGCACAGACTGCAAACTGTCGCCCTTTTTGCATCAGGACGTGTCTTGTGCAATCGCCTGAAGGTTTGAGCAAAAACCGAAATCTTTACACCTTAGCACTCGGAAACCCCAAACCCTGAAGTAGCGATCCTTCCCACCCTCAGAGCCCAAAGCACTAACCCCGAAGGAAGGCTGATAGAAAGTCTAAACTAGCCCCAAAAGTTATTTATAGTTGGGGCTCGCTATATAGGAGTAAAGAGAACTAAAAACTATCCCAAGTCGATACCTAGCATCGAAATCCCCAAAGCCCCAATATAGGGGCATAAATATTTAAATACCATCACTCTCATGGGTGTTCCTTGTTACATGACATAGTACAATAGGTCCCAAAACCCTGTTCTAATACTTAGTGTCCAAAGCCGTACCTCGATGAGGTCCACCCCGAGGATTTCGGCTGCCAGCATCACCTTGCGAGCTGCAAAGGCAGAGTTTGAAAAGACTTGATTGAAGCACCTCATGATAGGGTATAGGGTTTAAAGTTTATAGGGGTTAAGGGTTTAGGGCAACTTGATTATGTTTCGGGTTTAGGGCAAATCAGGCCTTATAGGCTTGAACTGGAGCTTCGGCCCCTCATATGCAAGTCACCTTCGCCGATTCCAAGAAGAAGACCTCAGCCTCCCGAACACAAAAAGACTAAAGAGGATCCAAGGTTCAGGGGTTGAGGCTTCAGGTACACTAAATAGGCTTTGGGGTTTTGGGGTGTATAGGGTTTAGGAGATAAGGCTTAGGGTCAGTACATGTCAGTACCCCAAACAGCCTGAATTGAAGTGGACAGCACTCTGTAACTTCATGGTAGTATGTACCCGTCCGGAAGACTGAGTCGATGCGATCACTAGGCAGCTGTTGCAGACGAGCACCTATAAGCATTGTGGACATCTAGACTTGAAGCCGCACAAGTCTTAGAAACATCCAACTTGCCAACCCTTGCTAAAGCCCAGTTCCATCGTTCCGAGCCTCCAAACCCTCAAATCCGGAAACCCTCCAATGCCCTTGCAGAACCCTTGTGGAACCCTGCAAAAGACAACCTTTTAAAGCACACTTAACCTCTTGAGTTCCTGAAGACGGGCGGCGTACTTTGGCGACACCAAGGGCTCCTTCTCCGCCATTGGGCCCGGGGCCCCTTGTTGGGGGGTGGCGTAAAGCTCCTCGAGCAAGGGATCCTCGGGACTTGATCTTCGGCTTAGTGGTCCTTTAACGGTTTAGGGTGTTTTTGTTAACGCTCCTAGTTTTCTGCCATGGTATGACGAAGAGCGGTTTAGGCTTTAGGGTTGAGGGTTCATAGCGGTCAGGATTTTAGGGGTTCAAGGACAAGTGGGAGTGACGTTGAGTTCGGGATGTGCTTGAACTGGTAGAGGAAGAAAGTATCTACGGGTTGAGTCAAACCCTAAAGCTTCAACTCTCAACCTTTCTTTCCCATTTCCCCCTGACTCTAAGAATGAAGCCCCTCAAGTCATGACCTGGCTCTGCATTCTGCCAGCCACGGCTCGTACTGCGGAACAGCCCTGGACGCCTCGACGTTCGAACCTAGGCGGCATTCGACCGCCAGATTTCACGGGCTTCGTTTAGGGCTTCGAGCTTCAGGGTCAAAGGGCTTCATGGTTTTTTTTTTTTTTTGAACTCCTTTTTTTGGAGTTCAGGGAAAGCATTCAAGGAACCGCAAGAATCGCCTCCTCCTGGGCACAAAACCCTGCACCATGAACTCAACCGCTTTTACCTCCAACCCTTTGAAGTCCTCGTCGATTGGAAACCTGAAATGCCGTCAAGATGGCCGGGTTTGGGGACAATTTATATGAGCCCTACTTAAAACTACTGCTAAACCCGCACTGGCTACATCCCCTTTGGGCTTCGTTGTGTCGGCCTTCCATGTGGTAGGCCCTGAAGAGCCGCATGAAGCTCTTGACGGCCGATCCTTTGAGACGCCAGCTCTTGTTCTACCGCGAGATTTAGGGGGATATAAGAGGGGTTTGGTCGAAGCTTCAAAGGCTTTTTGTGGGTCTTTCATAATGGCACAGGGGTGTCTTCCAACTGAGGAGTCCCTTTCAGGGGGTCCTCAGACTAGTCATCCTACAGTTCAGGGGCAAGGCATTGGAAAGGCCAAGGCCTTTTTTGATGAGACTCTTGGGACCCTTTACCTGTAGGGTTTAGTCTAGTTTAAGGGTCGCAGTTTCGCGGCCGACAAAGTCTTGAGAGCCCAGTGACTGGGCTACAGATACTTCACGTTGCGCATAAGGTTTTATGCGGGAGCCTGCTGCTAGATGGACAGCTGGGCCCCCAGAGTAATCTCACCCGGGCAAACGGCTTGGAGCTACGATTCAGACTGCCTGCTGATGCTTTTAAATGGGCTTTGGAGCATACGGTCGTAAAGAAAATTACAGAGATTATCCGGAGCTAAGGGTTCTGATAAAATCCCGAACTGGTATGGTTTTACGCTCTCGCAACTCGGACAAGCCTGACGAGGTCTTTGGTGCTGTGTGCTGTGACGGTCGGTACTACCAGCTGGCTTTCAGTGCATCACTGGTATGGGTTCAGGTTTAGCGATTTGGGATTGAAGCTCTCCACTGGCGTTGACCCTTTTTCAGTTACCTAGGTGCTTCAAAATTGCAAGGCCCAGGTCACTCGAGGAGGGCGCCGTGGCTTGGGAGCTAGCCACAGATGGCGGGCGCATGGTCGCGCCAGCCACCTTTTCAGGATATCGTCTCTCAGGTATGGTACACTTGTCGATTTTGCAGCATTTAATCTGGATGGGCTCGAAGCTTCCGCATCCTGCAAAACTGATAAACGGATCTCGGCATTCAAGTCGATTGTCGGGACGATTTTGGTCAGGGCCCCTGGTCTACATAGTAGGACCCTCACCCGAAGCAAGTGCGGGAAATCCCAAGATAGCTGACTGCAGAGCTGCACCTGCCTCCAGCGACGTTTCCGTGGCTGTCTGGACTGCTCGCTTGGCCTCCAGGCTGCTCTGCTCAGTTCTGCAGCCCAATGTCTAGTTTGACATAAGGTCCGATGCATACGGTGATTCAGCGAAATTTCACTAGTTTAGGGAGGTTGGAGTCTGTGGGAAAAGTCATGTACACCCCTGGTAAAGAAGCCCCGCACTCAGTGAGACAACTGGGGTCCGAGTGTTATTGAGGCCTGTAAAGGAAGGATCTTGATTGATCAGGTGAATGGTCACGCAGCTGCAGCTCTGCACAACTCTAGAATGTAAGTGACACCTAAGAATCATGAGTTTTCTGCGATTATGACCAACGGATGCAGGTAGGGTGGCATTTTTATGGACCACAATATGTGCAACCATCCCTACAGACACTCAACCGACAGAGCTCCAAAGAGTCAGACCGAACCTTCGCCTGCGAAGGATTCAGGTTTCCTTCCTATGCTCTACCTGAAACTTCTTGAAGACCCATGAGGTAGAACCTCAACGAAGAACCTGCAACTAACGCGACACGACTTCTGAAGCGGGCCCCATCAACCCCATAGATCAACTAACCGGCGGGCCTGCGCAGGCGAGGAGGCTTCTGAAGCAGGCGCGACTTTGGCGGATGCCTGCACAGGAGTGCTGCCAAACCCCTTTTGGGAGAGTTTTTATCGGGTCCCTAGGGTTTTGTAAGGATCCCGAAAGTCTAGAAGTCTTCGCGGCCAAAGCCCCAAACCACGAATGTCACAAACACCAGTGAGGTGGCTCTAAGTTTAAAGTACCCTCGTTGTGTTTAAGACCTTACTCAATGCCTTCTTACCAACGCGCCTTAGTTGGAAGTGCTCCTAATTACTTGAGCTATCCTTCAACCTTCAATTAGATAACGACCTTGACCACAGCTGCTGTGTCCCATGTCGACGCCTCCTTGTGGTGGAAATTTGCCACTACCTTGGGCGGCTCGTCTTGAACCTGACCGCAGGGTTTAAGCGTATAAGGCTACACGAGGATTAGGTTGCTCTCCACTGTCCGGCGGTTTACCTTGGCCACCCTGCAGCGGCCCTGAGAAATGGTGCCAACAGGATGATTGCGGCGGCTTTGCGGCACTTGTGTACCATCGCCGGCTATCGTCCATAAGTCAAACCCACTAGATCCTGAACTTCCCAATTACACACTTCAAAGAACAAACATTCAAACAGAAGCCAGGGGGTCTTGTTCCTTCTCCCCAGTCGTGATGGTGCTGGCCAACACAGACATCCCGAACCGAACGTTGATGATCAAGTCAATCACAATGGAAGCAATTTCTACAGGCGCAGCCGGTCTTGACACTACTGCTGATGGACAAGCCATAAGGTAGGAGGTAGACCATGCAGTCAACGCAAAGCCACTTCGCATCCTTCTCTTTGGGATCTAGACCGGTCCCACATGATAATTAGGACTGACATGTCGGTCTCGTATATAGTCACCCGTGCGTGTAGCCTATATCCTAACGTCTAACCCTGCTTACTCAGTGCCTCGGTGTTCCAACCCAGCCCTCTGCCAGGGCCCACGAGTGCCTGGATATACTTCATTCGGGTTTAGGGGTCTCGGATTTGAGGACAGCAGCATTTTCTCAGGTTGCCTCAGAAGTCGTGACGGTTGGATGCCCTGTCTTGGGCCAAAGGTAACGGATCTTTAAAAAGTTAGGTCCTGCACAGCGCGACTCATGAACGTCTTCGACGTGCGCTAAAACGGGAGCTGTGCACTGCCGTACATGGTATAACCACTCAGTCTGAGTCAGAATGGCTTCTCCTTTTCCTCCTCCTCCAGGGAACATGCTGCTCTTCAAGCAGCTTCGGGAGGATGCTGCAGAAGGTCGGTGTTATCCAACAAAAACTAGATCCCTCAGCAGGGCCCAAAAACCTGAACGCCTGAGCCCTTCCCACACAATACGTACCACGACAAAGAAGGCCCCCTCAACCCCAAAGCCCTAACACCTTTCCTAGAAAACTTCAAGCCCGAAAGTGAGCACTTCAAGGGCCACTGTTGAGGCGCCCGGTCCTCCCCGAGACGCCTCGCCGGTGCCTAAGCGGTCGAACGCCCTTGCGCGTGATCGAAACGACGGAGCCGTCGAACTTCTTGAGGACCCATCCTTGAAATAGGTCGTACTTCTTGCCTGGGTCTTTGCCGCTCTTGCAAAAAAGAAAAGGTTTTCTGCAAAGAAACCCTGCAAAATCAGCATTCAGTGTTGGTAGCTCAGACCTTCTTAGTAGGGATATGATATAATCACTCCTAGACTCCTAGATGAAGCATAAACCTGTTTCCAAGAACTTCCGAGCCGCTAGCCTCCCTGTAGGTGTGTATCTTCTCCGCCAGGTAGGAGATGGCATAGTCCTCGCTGCTGCGGAGGGGGGGGGGGGCCAACAAAGCACAGGAGGCCAAGGGAAATTTCGCCCTGGACTTCGCCTTCTTAATGGCCCTACTTATACCCCAAAGGCTCACGAAGAGATCCTATCCTCATCAGGGTTTCGCTCGGGCGTACAGTCAAGCAAAGTTGAGCCAAAGTCTCCAATCAGAGACGATGACGGGGCGGACACGTGTCACACCTAACCATGAACGCTGACCCTAGAACAACTTGAACAGCATCAATTTCTACCTCAGAAAGCAACCATCTTTACGAAGAAACAGATGTCACACACTAGGTCACTAGGTCTGGGACCTAATGTTACATTGAAGAGCTCCAAGAGTATATCAATCTGAAAAGCTTAAGAGTTACCTTCTCCCCATCAAGATCATCCTTGATCCTGAACCCAAACCCAGACCCCATAACCCCAAAACTTAAACAAAACAAAAAAACTACTGTCCTCGCCCACCCGCAAGCCGCCGTCTCCATCAGCCCGATAGTGGACACCTGCGAAATCTCGGCCCAAGGCAATGTTGGAGGCCAGCTTGTTCAGTTCCTTGCATGGCCGTCTAGGATTCAAGGCTTTATGTTTGGGAAGTCTATGGGCGTAGGATGATGTAGGCCTGCTTTTGGTGTTCGGGAGTTTCATCAGGTACTATCAGAGAGGACGGGTGTGGTCTACCTGGGATACCACATCCTACAACCCTCAACCGGACCGGCTGGTTCAGTGTAGGGACGAACCGGGGGGCTCTTCTTCAATTGCATATATGCGGACTTGACAATTCTGTAAAGGCAACATATAAGCAAACTGATATATACGCCTCACCTCATGTTGCTTCATGGTGGGAAAAGTTCACAGAGTTGCTCAATGCTTACTTTGGCTTCGCCGTTGACTGTCATCTCGGGGGCATCGGCCGCCGTGTAGTCAAGAAGCGTCGTGCCGTCGATAGAGTGCACCGCGGTGCGACTGCTATCGACCCACTTAGTCTCGATGGTGGCTGCATCGTCGTCGAAGGTCTTGAGCATGGCCTTCAGTACAGTCACGCACGCCCCAGCTATGACGGCATGGCCGGCCGGAAGGGACGGATGTGTTGGTGAGCCTTCCGGGTATTGGACGGCAAGCAGCGCGGTCTCCTTGCCGACGCGTGCTTCGTTGTCCGCCAGCACAGCCTCCAGGAGCTCAGAAGCTGTTTCGACGTTCGCTTTCAGCTCTGCCAGCCCTGGCACTCCAGTCCGCTTGTCAAGGAGGTCGGTGCGCCTGCGTGCCAGCTCGTACCGCTGAGCGAAGACTTCTGGTCGGATGCGCATGGTGATGCCCCATTTCTGCAGCCAGGCTGTGCGCAGCGCACCGGCCGCAACATGCGCAACGGAGGTGAAGAGATCGGGTGGGCCAGTAGTCATCCAAGCTGTGGAGATCTGGTTTGTTCTGTAGCCCTCCGTCTCAATACCTTGTTGGAAGGCGATCAACGCAGCTGCATAGTAACACTGATAAGCAGGGTCGCGGTGCACGATGGACCCCAAGACTCGCCCGCTCACTGCATAGGCCTTCCTTTTGGTGACGACGCTCCCGGGGTCCTGTTTGTGCCGGCTCCAAGAAGTTGACGCTGACAAATATTTACAAGTTCTGGGCCTATTGGGCATATACATATGTATATATATATATATACATACATACATACATATATACATGTATACGTATAATGTGTATGTGTATGTGTATATACATATATGTGTGCAGGCATATTATTCCTTCTATACACAGCAACAAGAAAGTGCCAGGAACATACCCTCTTCCATCAACAATCGCTTCAAACAGCTGGGCTCAGTCGCAGTGGTTCATCGCGGTCCTCTCCGTTCTGCACTGCGAGCCAACCGATCATGTCAAGCATGTTGCTCGGATCGAGATTCTCGTTGTACATCTGTTCTATGGGCATGGCCCCATAGTTGTAGGACTTGTACAGGAACTGGGAGATGTAGGGGCCGACATCTTCACCTTCAGTCTGAGGCTTAGGCCCAAAGTTTAAGCCTTTTAGGCATTACAGGGCTTAGGTAATTTATTTTTCTTATTCTAGGGTTTAAGGTCTAATTAGGACTCGTGGTGTCAGGTTCAGGGATAGGGGCTCAGAGTTACCACCTCTGTGCCCGGAGTCAATAAACTGCTGAACAATACTCCCGAGGCGCCAGGCCCTGGCCCACGGAAGAGCGTCTTGGCTGTGATGCGTCCGGAAACGGTCGGTGCGCTTGTCTTCGAAGGAAACTTGTTCAGATTTCTGAGGACCATCTGGACTGTCGGATTCCTGGGGCTCTCTTATCAAACATCGGTTGAACAGCCCGGATGTTGTACCGGTTTGTGTTGCCCGGTGCATAGTTTTCTTTGTGGTATAATGCTGCTGGTGGTAGTAGTAGTAGTAGTAGTAGTAGTAGTAGTAGTAGTAGTAGTAGTAGTAGTAGTATAGTTTCACAGGTATGTACCTGCACCCTCGTCGAAAGTCAGTTTGGGGACCAACTTATAGTACCGGAAACAAGGTAAACTCTATGCAAACCCACCGAACCAGTATCGATGCCAAAACCAGTCCGGAGCGCATGCCGTACTCGGCGAATGGCACATCTCGCAGCAGTGCCATTCCGTACACCTCGCAACCCAAACCCAAACTGCATCAGGAACACCCTTTTGGGTTCAGGGCTTATGGCTGTGAGCTTCAGCGACTCTAAACCAGACTCCCAACCTCTAACGGAGAAACCTCGAAACCGAGTTTTCAACTTCAACTTTTGCTTAGCCAGGCCGGGGTTTAAAGTAGTTTAAAGCTCCTGCGTTCACGAACTCCGCGAGTACTGAACCCCTTCCGAAAAAAAAACGCTTAAACTGCTACAGCATTAATTCGCAACCGACAGCTTCCCTAAACAGCCCCCCCCCAACACCCCCATACATGCCAAAAGGCTCCGGAGCCGCAACAGCTGAGATCAAAGCCCTGAAACCTCGTCTCACCGAGGCCCAAGCCTAAACCCCAAAAACCTTGAACCACAAGACCCATGTAACCCTATAGGTCGCCCCTAAAAGACCCAGTCTCAAAACTGCATACACACATGAATAAGAATAACACACACTCTCTACATAATACAAGTAAGAAAAGCACAGATAACTAAAACAACAAAAACGAATATATATATATATATATCTATATATATACATACACATACATACATATTATATGTATGTATGTATATTTATGTGTATATGAGCATGTAACCTTATATGCTGCTTTGAATTATACAGCACCCAAGATATCCAGAAGTCCTCGGCCATCTCGAAGGCAGACTCGCTTGACTCGATCGGGTAGAAGTAGGGGCAAACAAGGACCTCAGGCGAGCAACGGCTTAGGGTTCTTGTTCCCATCCGCACAGCTGACCTAGGCGCGCCACAGGGCGTATAGGCTCAATAGCTCGTGGTGTGTGGAGCTGTGCATCCCAAACGTGCAGCATCACAGCACGGTTCAGTTTAGGGTTCAGTTTTCGGTCTTTGGGTCGCGCATGGGATTTACAGGCTTGAAGGCATCGCTGCTGGAATAAGGATTGGTTGGGGTCTGAGGCCTATAGGGCTCTAGTGATCCTAAATAGGAATCACCGAAACGAACGGAAAAAAGGCTACAAAGATGAAGCCGAGAACAGTACATACACAGTATGGGCGAGAAGAAGCAGGGTTTTGCGTCCGGTGTCGCAAGAGGTATCACCATTATCATCACCACCAGCCTGGCACATCGACCATAATCGCATGCAGAAACAGTTACAGCACCACCGACGTGGTGTTGTCAGCTACAGCAAAGGAGGACCTCAACATTCCGAGGGAACGAGATGCTGCTTCTGCCTGCAGCCTCCAGCTATGGGATATGATGCAATTAGCATCGCGGGACGCATGCCGTCACTTCTTGCTGTGTTGTGATGCGAACAGTCTATATCACCGAAGGACGAAGCAATACATACACGGAACCTTTTTTCACGTCGACATAAGTCGACAATCGATTATATCTGGAAATCCGCCTGCTTAGAATCTGGTCCCGTGGCGGTCTTCGAAGGTCTGGGTAGGACCGTTGTTTGTGTTAAGGGTTGCCGGTGTGGGGGGTCATGTTTTTCTTTCTTTAGGGTTTGCGCCCTTACTTGCTTGCGAGGGTCTTTTTCTGGAGGGTCGCCCATGTCACTGCCGCTGCGGCTGTTCGTGAGCCCCTCGAGCTTGCGAACACGGTGTTCAGAGTCGGATAGGACGATGGCATCGAGGTTGCTGCTTGTCGGCTCCTGAATGGGAAAAAGTGGGAGGGCTCAGTCTGTTCGTGATTCTTTCGGAGACACCTGCCTTCTCTGTGGCGAGCACCCGGTCCACATGCTTCTTCGTCGGGAAGCCCGTCTCAGGATCGTGGGGAAGGGTCTTTGAAAACATCCAAGGATAGTACAGAATGCCGCCGTTGCGCCAGGTGCGCAGGTCATAATAGTCACCTGCATTGCCATAATGAGACTTCCTCCAGATAGTCTTCGCCGCACTGCCGTCGTGCAGCTGAAGGAGTGCGACTCTCTCGTCGGAACCATAGCCGTCCTTGGGTCAGTGGGAAGGGATGACCCCAAAATGCAACTCCAGAGTCATCCAGCAGGCCCTAGACACGTGACATGGAGGGTTAACTTACATAGTTTGAAAGGGACCCGGAGAGTCAAATGCCCGTTAATATAAGCAAGAAATACCCCTTGAACTAAAACGATGGAGACTCAGCATGATTCACAGTTGTACGGTGCGCAGTAGTAGAAGCAGTGTAAGAGAACATTCGGAAAAGCATGCTGCATTTCTCAGAGGTATACGCCTGCTGGCTGCCGTCACCTCGGGTTTTGTCCCACATTCAGTTTTCTCCAGGGTGGCGCTTTGCTGAGCTTGCTGCATTATGCGCCGCAGCTACGTGGTTCTCCCTCCATGTGCGCAGCCCCCGGCCCCATGTATTCATGGTTTTATGTATCCTGTTTTATCTGCATTTGCTTCTAAGAAAGCCGGTGTAGGGTTTAAGGCTTCATAATACAACGCCTGCTGCAGTATGATCTTTGGGCCCAGACCCCTGAAATCTGAGTCCTACACAGCACCTATGAGTGACATGCCAGAACCTGCTAGGACTTATCATACGACCCTGCAAAATGCAGGCGATGGTGATATAGGGGCCTGAATAATTAGACTGGGGTTTTGAATAGGGTTTTGGGGCCCAGTATACTATAGTTCAAATCAGGAATAAGGAACCCCCCGAGATCGTATAGGCAATTTTTGAAGCCCCTATACTAGTCTCACGTGAGCTTTCGGACCAGAGTCTTCTGCTTCCACCAAGTCCGCAGCTACCCCCGCCGCCAGCAAGAGAGCAATTCGCCAAACTCCCATTCCTAGGTAGGCCCCTTGAGGCCTCTCGAAAAACAGTTTGTAATTAAATCGGATCCTCCTAAACGCAAAGTAAGGAAAACAAAATGCATCTCCCAATGGCTCACCTGGATTCTACTGGTGCGCAGAGCTCTAAAAAGTTTGGACAAGGGGTTCGACTGAGGGCTCAAAACTTCGAGCGGCGGTGACAGTTGCATGCATGGAAAACAACGCCGGCAAGAACATGCGACGCGTACTCTTGTTGCACTCCCCCGAGCACACCTTCAGAAAACCTCATCCTGACAACCGTATTCCTGTGTGTGTCGGTATATATATATATACATATTTCTACCAAACCCTCCAGTCCTGCTAAATAGGTCACTAGGCGCACACGGCTTTCAAGTTGGTGGCTACATGCTCTTGCAACCCGGTCGCTCCGGTCAGAGTTACAAGAACATGCAGAACTCATCTAAGGTACTGCTCTTGTTTCGAGATCTGCCCCCGAACCAGGATTGATGCAATTTCTCGCCACACTCTCCCGGCGCCTGAGGGGCTACTCGCGACGTCGTTGCGCCGCAACCCATGGCAAAGGCTCAGAGAATTCGCATTGATAGCGGCGTGACGTAGGGCTTCGGCCCCATGCACACCCTAAGTTGTATGCTGGACTTGGGTTGCAGGGCTCTGGGCGTTCTCAAGCCCAGGATAGCTTACGCCGATTGCTGGTTCGATGCGTCGTTGTGTCGTGCGTGTTGACATGGACAAAGATATATCTGAAGTGTAGACGGTCTATCGTTCTTTGTCTGACGCCAATTCTCAATCTTGTAGCTTTTTGTTGAAGGGAGACCTGCACTATCCTCCACATATGCTTTGAAGCTGCAGCTCCAGAATGTAGTCGGGTGTCTGGACTGACATGGTGGCGCAGGCGTAGCAAAGCGATGCGAACCTCCTGAGAATCAATGAGAACAGTGCAGCCTGAGACTGTACTTCAAGATCCTAGCAACCGTGTCTACATTGCAAGTCCTTTTCAAATATCGAAGACGACAACCCGCGAGCAAGCTCTTTGGTAGAGTATGGCACCAGACACACCACAACTAGGTTTGTGAGGAAAAAGCTCCTACTAGGTTTTTCTTCAAAGGTCTAGTAGAAATACCCTCAGACCATGACCGCACATGTAGCATGCACGAAGCTGCTGGGAGCTAGCCTTCGAAGACGCCTTGGGCTCTGGGGCCTTAGGGGTGGGGAAATATATGTGAATGCATGTGTGTAAATGGAAATTTAGCTATAACTACACATATACATGTACATAAACATGTGTATAAATATATACACATATACAGATGTACATATATATATATATATATATGTATACATATATATGTGTGTGTGTATATATGTATGTATGCAAACATGTATGTATGCATATATATATATATATATGTAGTTAAATATCAATGTATTGAATTACTTTTGTATGCATGTGTGTTTACAGCTGCAGATATGGATGTGCGGATGGATGGGTAGATCGGTCGACCGGTAGATTGATGGATACAAAGTCTGTGCATTTCGCATTGTCTCCGGGCTTAGACTCAGAGCTTCTCAGGTTAACGATGGGGCAGTGCCTGCTTTTTCTCACCCAACACTCGGACACTTAAGATGGCCAAATGATCTAACGAGGTGAGTTATGCTTTCGTCAGCCAGCGAGCTTAAAACTCGGCGTTCTACCTCGAACCATTTTCTCGTGCGGCACTCCGCTCTCAGCCTTAAGCCACAGAAGTCCTAAAGCATGGCACCTGCGATCGCTGTGTCGGAGAATCCTCGATCTCTTGAACGGCCAGATCCTGCAATCAAGGGTTCCCGCACCTCTGCGCCTTTGGATTGATTGACTATAGGTTCGTGGAGGCTAGGATGAACCGGCAAAGAATCAGGGCTACCGCAATGTCGTGCCGACCGAGGGACCGTGAAAACCTTGAAACCCCAAGCCCTGGTGAGACATGTCCCAGTGTGCTGAGGGTTTAGGATTTAGGACAATCCGTGTAAACCCGCAAATCTCAAAGCACGAACATTGGAATACCACCCCCTAAAACAACAAAAGCAGAAGAGCAGAAGCGTGCCTCGTTTGAGTCTGCCGCCCTTCGCAGACTGGGCAGATGGGGCATCCTGCCCAATCGGGTTGCTCGGGCAAGGTACCCCGAGCAGGTGCCTGTTTCTTCGTTGGTAGTCGGTTTTTGCCGAGCCCCGAGAAAGGCTAGGTTTGTGCCACCTGCCCAGCTAAAAAGGCTTCGGGTTTGGGGTTGGTGGTTTTCGGCCGTGGGCTTTTAGATGCTCAGGTTTGCAGGGATCTTATCAACAACCCCTTCAACAGCTCTATCCTAGCTTATATAGGGCTCCCATGCACAGAGCTGCAAGGCTTGCGCAAGCAGGCCCACTACGATTGTCCAGGTGTTGAGGAAACTTGGATGACAGACGTGCCGATATCAACAGGAAGTAAGTAACCATGCACAGACTTTACATCTCAACCTAAGTACTAACCCCTCAGCCCCCAAAACTCCGAACCCCTACGCCCGTAAGACGAGAAACCTCAGGCATCCAAAATCTGATATCCCCAGCCTCCAAGAATCGTTGAAATAGGGCTCGGGGTTCAGAGTTTTAGTCGTAGTGTGTATGAACGTTGGGGTTCATGTGTCTTGTTTCGCTCAGGGTTTAGGGTTTAGCGTCTATTTGGCTGTTTAACATGGAGGGCTTATAGAAGATACTTGCAATTCGGAAGAGCCTGCAGGGTCGTGCCGCAATCGCAGTTCCGGGGCATGTCAGATGTAGATGCTGTAGTTCAATGCTCCAGGCTCCGGGATTTAGAGTTTAGAGTTCAGAAATATGGGGTCTTGGGTTTAGGGCTGAGGTTTTGGGGCTTAGGAACCCGGGGTTTACAGGTTTACGGCCGTGGGTTTGCCACGCTGGCAAATGGGCTCTGCGTTCGGAGGCTAGGGCTCGGGATGGTTGGTTGAAGTCTTCGGGAGCCTTCTTGCTTTGACTGAGCGTCCGCATGAAGACTCGACTCATGAAACTGCTGAGCATCCGAGGCGGCAGCAACAGCAACTAAAAGGAGATGGAAGCGTAGGATCTACTTCAGTGCCCGGTGCCTGGTTTCCTAAGCGCATGTAGTTTGTCAACCACCCCAAGAAAAGCGGACCACTGAGATGAGTTGGAGTGTAAAGGGGCATGGTTCAAAGGTTTGCGATTCTGGGTCTAGCGTTCAGCTGTGGCTTCTACGGATTCCAAGGCTCATCTGGCATTTACAGTCTCACAAACCACTGGTTTGTGAACTCCAATTTGGGGTTTGGCATAGGACGTTCTGGGTTAGGGCTTCGGGTGAACGTAAGGTTGGGGCCCCGAGTTCGGGTCCAGAAGCCCCGACAAGGCAAACTCCAAACACTCTACATCATTAAACACACACACACACGCACACACAAACATACACATACACATACACATACACATACACATACATACACATACACATACACATACACATACACATACACATACACATATACATATACATATACATATACATATACATATACATATACATATACATATACATATACATATACATATACATACACATACACATATACATATACATATACATATACATATACATATACATATACATATACATATACACATACATACCATATGTCTCTACATATATATATATATATAGATGAACAATATTAACACAAAAATATATCTGTCTGTTGATCTATATATATATATATATGTACATGTCTACATAAATACATGTATATATATATATATATATATACAGGTCACATATGTATACTTATATCCTATGTGCGTGGCAACACTCTTGAGGCACTTGGCAAGTACGACTACGGATGTTGCACTCAAGATTTGAAACTTGGCATTGTGACTCTGGCTGATGTCTTCCCACTCGGCAAGTGCTATGATGTTGCTTTTCCTCCGCTGTCGGCTAAGATGCCTTTTCGCCCTTCACTTGGCGAATGGCGGAGTCTGACGAGACCTCATCGGCGCGTACCGGTGAATCACGAATCTTCGAACATTTCGGCCAAGACTTGCTCGAAACACTCCCATTACTCCGGACCATCCCCGCTGAAAACGATCCTGCGCATCACAAAACTGTAACACATCGTCCTTTCAGCTCATACAATATCTGCCACTGAGCTCATCTAGCGGATAAACTCTCAACCATACTTAACTAGTATGCCTACCTGCACGACAGGACACAGCACAAAATGGCAAATTCTGAATTGAAAAGATCCGTTATGGAGCTTAATGAATAACCGTATCCTCTTCTAGCACCTATAGCTATTATAGAAGCTTTTCTGTAAGACACCCTAAAACCTGCTGTCATCCTCGCCGAAAGGCCAATCCCAAATACCCCTTCACTCCTTGGCAGGCCCGAAACAGAAACCAAAGCAGGACCTGCCAGAAGGATAGCAGGTGCCCAAGGCAGCCAACCCCTCTATGAAATTAGATGACTCTGATCCTGAGCCGTATTGAAAAGATACTGAGTACGGATCAAACAGCCCTGCAGGTGTCAAAACTCCAAGCTGCTTACGCAAATGCCAAAAGCCTCCGAAGCGTCGGCCTTTTACCACAGAGCACAATTGCTTCGTTGCAGGATGTATCTTTTTTCCGCAGGCGGCGGTGGAACGTAGAGCGGAACGTAACCTACACGACAACTCTGATACTCCAGGCCCAAGACGCTGCACGGAAAATACTTCCCAGGAAGACCTGGGATCAAGAAATTCCTTGGGCCCAGGATCAGACAAAAGAGCTCCCATCTCGCGACCACAGCTTGGGGTTTAGGGCGTTGAGGGGTCCTTCTGCTACAAGCACGTTCGGAAACCCTTATAAGGGTTACATATCACGAACTATTCAAACCTCCATGGCATGCTTCGACTTTAGGGTCCGTGCAGAAATCCAAAGAAGGCCCCTGAGACTCTTATGCTCAAGGCAGCCGGCATCGCCTGAATGGCGCGCGCGAGCGGTGAAACGAAAGCTTCGGGAGCTTTGGAGTGCTCCCGCACATTGAGGAGCTCGAGTAGTATATACTTTCTAAAACCCATCTGCCTGAACTTTCGGAACCCCGGTTGCAAATTTAGGGTCGAATGTTCAGGGTTCTTCTGTCAGGGTTTAGGGGCTTTGGGATTGAAGTGTAGGGCTTCGGGATTCGGGTTGAGGGTCATCTTCATCACTCCAATTCGATGTGCGCTGTTTCGCCGATCTGCGAGGCATCGCGTACGTACGGCTTTCGCTTCTCACGGCCGAACCTCGGCTTAGAGGCTTCCCCTGTTTGCGGCTCTCCGGGCGGGAGGCTCAGTGCTGAGGGCCTCGGAATTTGCGATTGTGTGCTGTGCTGCGGGCCCCGTTTTTTGCTGTAGGGTCTGACTCAGGTTTAAGAGCCTCTCGTGTTTAGGATTCCGGGCTGTGGGGCCGAGATCATGTCAAAGTCGTATTTGACATGAAAGGGATCTGGCACTCATCTCCTGCGAAATCAACCAGCGAGCTCCCCGACACCAAACCCGGAAGCCCAAAGACACAAACACCTTAACCCCGCGAGTGGCCAGAAAATCGCGATGGGTGCCATGAGCATGATGGCTCCCTGCATCATGAAGGGTGTACGGCTCAGAGTTTAGTGTCTGGGGTGTTTGTGGTCTGACTCTTTTTCAGAGCTTGAAGTAAATGCGCAAATCGAACGTCTACGATGTGTAGGTATTTTTTCCGTCTGCCTCCGCTCCATCATGAACCTGCCAAAGCCCACAGGCCTGTGGTTTGGATTTCAAATCTGCGGGCTTCAGGATTTGGTGCTTACGGTTTCGGATCTGAAGTCGCTATCTGGAAAAGCCAAACTAATCATCCCCATACTTATCCCTGGGGCTCCTCCTGGTAGTCTAAGACACACCATGTGTCCCAGATCCAACCCTAAATCCTGAACCCGTTCGATGAAAGTAATGCACCAACCTCGAAACCGAGACGGTCCATATGTACTACAGTAACGGCATGGTCCCTAAAAAACCATCCATACTAGTACCATATATGGGCCCTCTTGGTAGCCTGTATAGAACACCACAAAGCTCCTATAAAGCCCTATATATCCTCACCGTGGCAAACCGCCGGGAACCAGGCCAGGATCAGAAGAACGACGACGAAGGAGGGTAGACCTGACTTGGAGCCCAAAGAATTTGAAGTTTTGCTTGATCGGTGCAGCTTAAAGCTTCGAGGTCTCCTGTGAAGGCTCTGGCAATGGCTCTTCAAGGGTTCCTACAAGTGGCCTAGGGTCTTTAGGGTTATTTGGGCTTATAGGATTTCGTGTTGATGGATTCGAGTAGTTGGGTATAGTTCGAATCTCGACTCCTCGGAAATTCGCGACAAACACGAAACAAGATACGCACATAACATATATACATACATATATATATGCACATATGCACAGTCTTGGACGAAACCTGAAACGAATCCATTCAATCCTAAATTCAAATTTTCAAACTGATCTTCATTCACAGGACTCCCCTGAGGAATCCCCCAGAATACTTTCCATTTCAGCTTCCGGATTTCTTCCTTAACCATACCGGGCCGTACATTGCACACCCTAAACCCTACAAATCCAACAAACCAAATGAACAAACGTCCGGCCTCCGCCCGGGCTTGCGGTGGTGCCGAGGGTTTCCTGACCTCGCTGACCTCCCTGACCGTCCAAAGCGCCGAGCTGAGAGAAGCTCGTGGAAGAACCTGGCAGAGAATACGAAGAACATGAGTCAACAACAAATTTAAAAATTCAACACCCTGTCCTGTGAATTCGTGTTTGCTCTCTCTGTCGTTCCTGGGTGGTGGGGATTTTGAGATCGTTATTAAGGTTAGACGGTTCTACTCAAGAAGGACCAGGGCAGGGACCCCCGAACACTTCTCAGAGCCCATGCCCCCGGCTTCAGAGTGCGAGGTGCGGGCTTAGGGATCGACAAACCCCTCCCGCCGACCTATAGCTGAGGGCTTCGGATGAACCTCCGAACCCAAAAGCTCGGAGATGGTCGTGGAACCACCTGGCGCGGCGTTTGTACATTCGGTGCTTCTTTTGGTTTGGGCTAGGGTCCACGGGAACCTAAGGTTCAGGGTCTATAGAATATAGAAGTTGTAGAAGTCTTGTACAAACCTACCGGCCACACCAGGCCCTACACTCATAGCCCTCGACTCATGAACCCTCAAAACTAAATTCTTTCAACCCTCAAATGATGCCTCCGGCTGGGACCTCGAACGTGGGCCACAAGGTTTGGCGGCTAATGCTGTATAAGGTTTGCCCGTGAGGTTTATGGCAATTTTGGGGCTCGTGAACCGGATGCGCTCGCAAAAGAAAGCCGAAACGAAAATACGTTGCTTGATCAGGAATGGTTGCACCCTGAAAGCCGACGAGCTCCAGGCATATGATCACAGTCCAAGACTCCAAAATCCGAAATCGTACCTACCAACCCTATGCCCTGTTCGCATACAAGTAGCAAAAGCCCCAGCATCAAAGCTTCGAAGTCTTATACAAACCCGTGATCCTAGATCACTTGACCCTGAACCCTCTTCAGACCTTCTGTAGCGTCCATAGTTTATTCCAACACCACGAAACCCTACCTTCTGAGGTTCCTGAGATTATATATGTATATCTATGGATATATGGCCAAAGTAAACACAAGTCTTATGGGGCGAAGGTATAGGTTGCAGGGTTTACGGGGCTCAGATGTATGCAGGTTTGGGCATATCCATTCTGCCAAGCCACGGTTGGTAGCTCGGTCCGCGAAGATCCCGAAGCTGGACGAAGGTTGGCTACCCTGTACCTTGAGGCTTCAAGGTTTAAAATTGTCGGGTAGTTTTGCGGCTTTATCATGTGGGCTGTAAGGCCTCTAGGCTTTCGGACAGGCTGGCAGTGAACGTTCATGGTTGATCTTTTCTGTGGTTACCAGTCTTGTCATGCTACTTAATGCGAGTCCTGTAGACGAGCAATGATGGGGCAGCCCGACGGGGTCACGTCTAAGCCGACCAGCACGTCCCAATTTGTGCAGCAGTATTCGCTCGACAAAGAAGTATCCGTGTCAATGGCACACATATTCCAGGTATGGGCATCTTGGCACCCCGGGCAATATCTGCATCCATTTAAACTGGCATAACAATGACGGAAACGTGCCAAGCCCGAATAGCCCATACCTAGTGTATCGGCACAAACGAATGACATTCCTAAGACCTTCGAGGCACTCGCATTCTCCTGATTGAGACCCGCTTAATTACAACGTTCGAGTCGAGGCACAGTCAGAAAGCCAGCAAGTGCCTTCACGCCAGCCTCAGCAGACTTAACAGGATGAAGCTTAAAACAAGCGGGCCTTAACACTGTCAACACGGTCTTCCGGCACCACCCTGGGGGTCTGTGGTTGTAGCAGGGTTTACAGATTGCAGTTTGGCAGGGACTTGGCCATCTGTGGGTTTAGTGCAAGCAAGATGGCCTCACAGTGGGTTTATCGTCTTTTGACGCTTCTACTATGGATCTTGAGAGAATCTAGAAGCCAGTATATACGGGATCAACAAGGCATGTGCAGCTTCATCTGCCCAACTACCGCAGAGAACGGCCTTCGGAGTTGGCAAGCCCAAGCAGAGCGAACCCGAAGCCGTCTTCTTTTGCTGAGAACGTTGTAATATCACCTGTAAATCCGCTACAGGGCTTCGGGTTGGGAATGGTTTTGGATCTTGGATACTATAGGTGGAATGTGTTTCTGCCAGGTTGGGCTCATGGAATTGGGCAGGGCCGCAGCAGAACACACGTTTTCGTGCCCGTCTTGCGCACAGGCATCTTCAGCTTCCACTGCCTTTGATGTGAGCAAGACGGCTTTCCAAACTTGGTTTAAGGTTGAGGGCTTTGGTTCGCAGCGCCAAAAATCAAAGGGTGATCTAATGATGCAACCAAAGCTCTTCAACAGTGCTGCCTTTGTCATCGGTGCTTTCGGCAGCTTGCTGATCTTGATGTCCTTG